AAGCTTCAATAAGGATTTGACCAAAAAATTCAAAACTATGAACATTTCAAAAGGTGCACATAGGAGGTGCAAATTTGAGAAAAAACTATTATCTTTTAGCCACAAGTACCTTCACTGTCTTCACGCTTTCCTTCACATTCTCCTCGACAGAAGGAACATGGCCTAAGTAGTACTCTTCAAGCAGTTCGAGAGTTCGTGAGCCATAACCCATAGATTGGAAATCTGGGTGAACAGCTATCCGAACAACTCTACCACCACACAAAGTCGGAAACTCATGGTCCTGTAAATGCCTAGAATTCTCAGGAAACAAGTTGAGGTCAGAAAGTCCTACCATAAATTGCTGTGAGATAGTCCACGGCAGCAAATCACCAGCTGCACGCTTTCCCGTACCCAGAGCTCCAGCAACAGTTCCTTCGGAAAGATTCCCTTCAAGACAAACTTGTGCCAGGGCTAGTACCTGACAAGCATATATCAAAGATGAGGAAACAATGACTAAATCCTAACCTCAGGTACAGATGATTGATCTCCCTTTACGGGTGACATCAACGCAAAAAGATGATGAGCAGGAGCATCACTCAGCATCTTGAACGTATAGAAAAACAATAAGAGTTATAAATCAGCAAAAACGCAGCTTACCTGCAAGTCATTAGGGGAGTTCTTGTAATGCGCAGCCACATATATTGCCATAATTTGCTGAAGAAACTGCTCTGAAGCTTTGTGGAATGAGAATAGTGTGTCGCGATTCACGAAATACCTAAAAATCTGTTAGAGGAAGGTGCAGTGTATACAGTATTCCATTCTCTAAGTGTAAATGACTGCAAAAAAGACACATAACTCTCGAGACAAAAGACAAAATGCAAAAAAAATTCTTCTCAAAAAGATTCTGAACAACCGGTCAAAAAACCTACAATTCGCATTCACTTGGAGGTGGAGTCCCGCATGAGAGCTTTGTATTGATATTGGCAGCATTCAAGCACAGAATTCGGTTGAGCCATTGTTCGATCTGATGTTAACATACTACTACAAGGTAAAGTACGAATTTAAGTATTATAGCATACCTCATCGCCAGGTTTGTATCTTATACTTTCTTCCATAGTGAGCTCGTGCAGCTTTCTTCCTAAAAGAAAACAAATCTACAATGAGAATCTAGCTTTTTGACCCACACACCTTTGCTTGCAGCTAATTTCTCTCCCTTAGCAGTTCCAGCAGACTGCTGCCGAAGCTGTTGAAGAAGTTTCAAAGATAAGCTGCGGCCGGTTCCTTCATAGCCATTGATCGTGGATGATAGAAACACAATGTATGGACCTTCAAATCAGTAAATAGTCTCTCCAGCGATATGAGTAAGGTCAAAATCTCACCAAAAATCAACTCCTTCACCAGTGGAAGAGGTATAGCAGCAGCCTCATCGACCACTACTAGCTCAGCTTGTCCCAACTTACCAGCATCTGATGGGTGAATGTACTAAAAGCTCACATTCATGAAATAAACGAAGCATCAAAATCTCATCTAACCTGAATCGTTTGCCGATGCTCCCTGAATACATTTACGCGAACAAGAGCTTTTTGAAATTCGGGATTAGTCGACTGGATGAGCTCAAAATCGATATGTTCCTGTAGACAAGTGCTAAATCCCCTAATAAACTGAATTTTATCAAAAGCGGACTTGCCTGATAGCCCATCGTATCAAAGCCTTTTACTACAAATTCGAATAAGGTCTTTAGATTCTCAGGCGATGGCGATGTAACGAAGATGTTAGAGTAACCGAATGCAACTGCGCCAGCCAGGGCCAAGCCTATAAGTAATAAGAAGGAATATTTAATCATTTGCAAAATAAATAGATTTCAAAAGAAAATTTGCTGACCTAACGAGGCAGATTTTCCTCGCCCTCTGGCTGCAGTTATAGAACAAGTAACATTCAAATCTTTGTCAGTAATGACATCAAGGAGCCTGAACAGCTGGGGAATGAATACGATGGAAATATGATTTCACGCTTACCTGAGAAGAACTTTTCCTTGGTCAGCCGTTCGACACTTATTTAACAATGGTCCAACAGGTTTCGTATCCTTCATGCCTTCTTTGAGAGCTTTTAGCTCTGCCTCAGATGCTGATAGTGCGCCCTAGGTACCAATAAGATAGAATTGATTAAATTTCAAAAATTAGTACCTTGACGGATGGTTGAACAGGCTCCAACGACTGGATGTGACCGGAGATTGGCAAAATATGCAGCTGATCATCGACTACGACGATATTTTTGCAGCTTGCAAGCGAGAGTATAAACCGCTCGTTAAATCGAGCAACTATTTGTGTATGAGATTCTGTCCTATAGCGATTATGCACATCCTGGAAAAGGAAAATATTGTATGAGTAATAGCAAGAAAAAATTCTGAAAAGGGCAAAACAATTACCATTGTTATCGTATAAAGTTGCCGCAATGAGTTGACAGTTTTCATCAACAATACAACAATTCCTCCTCCCTCTATGGTTTCAATGGTACGAGCCAATAAATTTGGCGTCAATGCTTCAAAATCCTAAAAAAAAGATTTCTAATGGTACAATGCTACACTTCTAAGCAAACATACCTGCAATACCAGCATTCCATAAGTGTTTCCAAGGATATTTTGCGTCTCATTATAATAGCAATAGCGAATCTTCGTAGTGGAAATGAAAACTTCAAAGGGATCGCCTTCCTAAAGGAAAAAATAGAATGTAAAATTTCTACAAAAAGACTTAGAACAGGCCAAAAAATAGAGCTTGGGTAATAGACGAAGTAAACATACCGTTATAGTACTGATTGATGATTTTGTATGTATTTGCCGTATTCGCTTCTTCTTGTTGGAGCTATAGCCTAATTCTTTTTTATAGCACCACAGGACAGTCGGCCGCGCTGCGACAGCAGCTTTTGACAAAATATGGTGAAGAACAGGGATCTAGATAAGAAACATTTGTGTCGGGATCCCAATATGAGGTATGAGAAGTGAAAGAACTGTCAACTACCTGATCCCTTCCTCTATCTCCGACAACGACGAACATGCTTCGATGTCCTTTAGCAACGCCATTTTCGATAAGTGTTCGTATCCGATTGTCTATTTTTGTGCGCATTTTCAGCGCTAGAGGACTACCTATAATATTCATGCAGCAACTGAGAAAATCTTACAGAGAAGGAACGCAGTATGCACATTAACAAAAAAGGCATGAGAAAAGATAAGTGAAAACATGATGCAGAGTTCAGAGTTCAGGGGCCGTATTCTGAACGTTACAAAGTGGGTAAGCGTACCCAGTGGGTAAGTAGCAGTGTCACATAGTGCCACTGGGTTGAATCGATCTCCACAAAAAGCAATCCTGAGTCCGCTTACCCAGCAGCTTCGTGAATACCGGCATAGTGGGTAAAGGCTACCCACTGGATAAGCTTACCCACTGGATAACGCATGAATGCGGCCATAGAAGAAGGAAATCTGAAATCAAGATACAAGCCAATCGAGGCGAATAGAGTGCAAATGCACGATAACACTCTCGTTATTGCTAGGCAAAAGTAAGAGGTACTGTTCCATTTCTAAGGACGAACTGATTTGGTGGTCTTATCTCCCGTCCACCTGTTACAGCACTTAGTATTCATTGGTGGCCGAGAAATTCAAATCTGAACTCCGGTCCAGACCGTACCTCTACCGTACTCGCGACCGCAGTGCTTCACGAAAATTACGTCAACATTAGATCTAGGTATCGAGATTGGCCTGCATTCAGTCAGTGAGCATCAACTTCTCAAGGATACTCATTAAAGGCAGTGTCCGGGCAAAAAGTAGATTTTGAGATTTTGTGCTCAACCGGGCCTATTCGCTATGCTGAATCCGAAAATTTACACTGGAAAGCGCGAAAACGACGAGAAAGGGCTTAGACACAGGAGGGAAATTAGCAGGGGCGGAGTCTTCCCCACTGTGAAATAACGCTCCCAGCTTCCGGAGCGACCTTCTCGGTTCCCTTTCACGTCGTGCGTTTGCATTTGGTCAGTGGGGATGCTGGGATTAGCGGAAGCAAGAAGATGGCTCCGGAAGCTGGGAGCGTGAATTCACACTGGGGAAGATCCTGCCCACCTGCTGATTTCCCTCCTGTGTCAGCCCTTTTTCGCTCTTTTCGCGCTCTCCATTGTGGATTTTCGTATTCAGCATAGCGAATAGGCCCGGGTAAGCA